GGGGTGCCTGGGTGGCTCAGTCAGTTAAGCATCTGCCTTCGGCTCAGGTCATGATCCTGGGGTCCTGGGATCGAGCCCCACATCCGGCTCCCTGCTCAGTGGGGAGTCTGCTTCTCCCTCTGACCCTCCCCCTTCTCATGCTCTATCTCTCTCTCACTCGCTCAAATAAATATATAAAATCTTAAAAAAATAAACAACATGCTCCTGAACCACCAATGGGTCAATTAAGAAACCAAGGAGGAAATCAAAAAATACATACAGACAGATGAAAATGAAAACACAATGGTCCCAAATCTTTGGGACTCAGCAAAAACAGTTCTAAGAGGGAAGTGTATAGAGATACAGGTCTATCTCAAGAAGCAAGAAAAATCTCAAATAAATAACCCAACCTTACACTTAAAAGAGCTAGAAAAAGAAGAACAAAAAGCCCAAAGCTAGAGAAGGAAGGAAATAATAAATAGTAGAGCAGAAATAAATGAGATAAAGACTAAAAAAAAAGCAATAGTAAAGGGCAATGAAACTAAGAGCTGCTGCTTTGAAAAGATCAACAAAATTGATAAACCTTGATCTCATCAAGAAGAAAAAGAGAATACTCAAATAAATAAAATCAGAAATGAAAAAGGAGACATAACAAGTGACCTACAGAAATATTCTTTTTTATGTTATAATTTTTTATTTTTTAGGGAGAACAGTATAATGAAATTTAAGCAAGTAAAATAAAAGAAGGCCAGGCATGGACCTACAGTGACTCTATGTCCTCACCCAAGGATGTGTCCCTCTGATCATAAGAGAGTATTATGAAAACTTATATGCCAACAAATTGGACAACCTAGAAGAAATAGATACATTCCTAGAAACAATCTCCCAAAACTGATTCAGGAAGAAACAGAAAATTTGAACAGACCCATAACCAGCAAGGAAATTGAAGCAGTAATCAAAAAACTCCCAACGAACAAAAGTCCAGAACCAGATGGCTTCACAGGTGAATTCTACCAAACATTTAAAAAAGAGTTACTACTGGGGCGCCTGGGTGGTGCAGTCGGTTGAGCTTCCAACTCTTGGTTTCAGCTCAGGTTGTGATCTCAGGGTCGTGGGATGGAGCCCCTCATCAGGCTCCACACTCAGCACAGAGTCTGTTTAAGATTCTCTCTCCCCCTCCCCCCTCTCCCTTTGCCCCTACACACACACTCTCTCTCAAATAAATAAATAAATAAATCTAAAAAAATAAAACTATTCCTTTCAAACTATTCTAAAAAGTAGAAGAGGAGGACTTCCAAATTCATTCTACAAGGCTAGCATTTCCCTGATACCAAAACCAGACAAGGACACTACAAAAAAAGAGAACTACAGGCCAATATCTCTGGTGAACATAGATGCAAAATCCTCAACAAAATATTAGCAAACTGAATCCAACAATATATTTTTAAAAATCCTAACCCTAACCCTAATCCACAGTCAAGTGAAATTTATTCCAGGGATGCAATGGTAGTTTAATATTCACAAACCAGTGAGTGTCATACATCACATTAACAAGAGAAAGGGTAAAAACCATACGATCATTTCAACAGATGCAGAAAAAGCATTTGACGAAGTACAACATCCATTCATAACAAAAACTCTCAATAAAGTGGGTTTAGAGGGAACATGCTTCAACATAGTAAAGGCCATATATAAAAAAACTCACAGCTATCATATGACCTCACTGATATGAGGAATTCTTAATCTCAGGAAACAAACTGAGGGTTGCTGGAGTGGTGGGGGGTGGGAGGGATGGGG